GGAGGCTTCGGCGCCAAACCACCAGACGCCAGACCGCCGAGACAATGGGCTTTTCCCTCACACAAAAACAACCCGCATTGTCCAAATCTCGCATGGCGGAAAACGGCCGGCTGATCAAACCCTCACTGGGAGGTAGCGTAGCCAGGAAGTCCTGAAAGAGACTCCCTGTCACGCTCAGGGGCACCGCATACGTCAACCCATCCAGACGAAAACGAGCCTCACAAACCGCATACAAATCTGCATGAACAGGATTTTGGGAAGGTGCCCCGAAGTCCCAAGGGGAAGAAAACAAGGTAGCATACAATAACCGAACCGCTTTCGAGGGAAATGTGATCGTCTTTGCAGTGTGTTGCAGTGGCAAGGCGTCGGGTAATTCGAATGCAAGCACTCTATCCCTCCCACTCAGCCGGGTAATCCCACCCCTTCCCCTTCTCCTCGTTGTTGAAAATGCAACAATCGGACGAGAAATCCGGGGCCGAAGGCGAAAGAAATGTTTGCGGATACCAGCAACACGGCAACGTGCCGCGACGAGAGGAGCCAAACAACAACTCTGCAAAAGGGAATTAGACATGATATGATTTTCACAACACTGGGGAGACAAACCGGTATCGAACCACACCCCGACCCAAACTAGCGTACCAAACTTTCTTCAGGCCCAAGAGCAAAGCAAACCACAGACCAAGGCCTGGATATATCGTTGGGCGTCCTCTGACGACGGTCGAGAACGCGGAAGCGGGGGTATATGCGCCTCTCCCCTGCGTCTTAACTGCCGGCGCCCACCCAACGCACCACCACAACCACACACCACACAACACACACACACTACCCTGCCGACCCCATCCTTGATGTTCTGGAAGCGGAGGAGGTGGCCGGCGTCATCACACCGAGTCCCTACCTCCAAAAGACTTTCTTTCTCCCAACGGTCGACGATCTCCTCGTGTCTACGCCGTGACGCCCGTGGCTGAGTGGCTCAGTTCCCTCCCCGATCGGCGACGCCACGATGGTTTAGGTCCCCACGGCGAGCAGGTCCTTGACCAGCTGTAATGCACCAAGCAGCACATCTTCGCCTTTTACATAGTCTAATGCATCCCAACATCGCCATCATCAACAACGTGCGTTGATAAGAATAGAAACAAACCCGCAGGAAAAGAATGCGATGAACAGCGAGATGTGAATTTTTCAGACGACTTCAGCTCTGCTGGGAACATGCATGATCGCGGCGATCGGCTCCAGGGGCAGGAAATTACACAACCTCATCACCATGCACCATCCTTCCTTCGATCCGGCACGAGAAACTCGGGGGACACATGTACAACGCCGCCGCCGCAGCTCGGCAAATGGGGCCGTTCTCAGATCGGGGGCCGCAAAATGTCTCAGTTCGTAGGGCTTACCGTGACATGCTCCCCATCCGACGCCGTCGCAGAAACTTAGAAGGTTGTAATACACGCCGTCAAGTAAGCTTCTTACAGCCTTCATATTGGAAAATCGCCGAAGAGGGGCGTAGGCGTGCACCGCTGCAATCACGTCATAGCCTGGTCCGAACCGTCGGTACCGCTCACTTGAAGCCGCAACGACGTCCCCCAACGACGGGACAATACCACACAACCCAAAGAGAAAACTCGCAACTCACAACTTTTTGGGACGCTGCATTACCGCCTCCAGAGAAACCTGCCGCCTGCACCAAATTCCCAGAGCCGGAGAGGCCGGGGTGGTTGATTCGCCTTGCTGCATGGGCTTGCACATTTTGCCTCCCGCGATGTCACCCCAATCACTCCTCTCATCACCTCTGCACCGCAATTCCATCGTCACCGACTCATCCACAGCAGAGGCAGCCAAGCTCCCAAATGAGCGAACCGAGATCCATCTTGCAAAGGAAAATAGGAGAAAAGCCACACTTGAGGCGCTAGGGCATGACTGCCATCTTGAGGCCCCCTGTCCTCTCGATCGCCCTGGAAGCGACCCCAGATGCAGCAACGATCGCCCGTCCAAAACAAGGTCAACCGTCGACGTCGTCTCATTTGCGCCGCCGGCAAGCGCTTCGAGTACGGATGGCGGCGAGCGGGATAGCGCCACGCGTTACACCTCGCAAAAGGCATTAAACCACTTGGCCAGCCATTGGCCATTTCGATTGGCTGCTTAATGCTGGAGCCTTGACTGTAGTGGTTGCCTGTACCCAAACAGACCGACATGTACGTAACGGCGTAGTATCAAGGCGAAATGAAGCAGTGAGAGCGTACGGCTACCAAGGTATTACGGAGTGAGAAGGCAATCTGTGCAGCCATCGACACCATGCCACTACCAAACCCTTCGAGCCTCTCGCATGCGATCGTCATCAGCTCGACAAGGTCTCGCCTTGCGGTAACCTCGAGGAGCGGCAACTCCGCGATGTTCCTGGCGTTTCGTCGATCTGGCCCATATAGCACAAGCGCGTTCTTGCTGACACGCGTATCTTCTGGTGATCTTTGAGCTTTACGACAGCAATCCGAGGCACTCTTCCATCTGCTTCGTAGTATTGAGACGGGAATAGTGCCCAACATACCCGCCACTTGGCGAGAGGCCTCACTGCTCATTGGGCAGTACGCCGAGATGCACTGCAAACAACATCACGGCATCACGATCCGGATCATACTGGCTCGCCAACCCTGCCTTCCATTCCTATAGGGCCGCTTGAGTGTCCGTGGTAATCGTACAATGTTGTCTATCGCGTTCGAATCCTCTATGCCCCAATCCCGCCAGAAGCAATAAACCCAGATACCCAGCGGCATCCAACACTTGGATGGATTAAGCGTAGAAGTTGACCGTCTGCAGGTGCAAGTCAGTACACGCGGAATCAAATGGCTCGCTATAACACTTACATCCTTCTTCTTGGCCTGCACCTCGGCAATGGCGTCCACGTAGTGCTCGTGGCTAATCTTGTTCTTGCCCATACGCAGGGCAATCATACCAGCCTCCACACAGACAGCCTTAAGCATGGCACCTCCGAACTCGTCTGTGCTGCGAGCCAATTCACCCCAGTTGACAGCGGGGTCAACCTTCATCTTGCGGGAATGGATCTTGAGAATCTGCGCGCGGGCCTCCTCGTTCGGCAGGGGGAACTCGATCTTTCGGTCGAGACGACCTGAACGGAGCAGGGCGGGGTCCAAAACGTCGACTCTGTTCGTGGCGGCCAGGACCTTGATGCGGTCGTCTGACGCAAAACCGTCCAGCTGGTTGAGAAGCTCCAACATAGTGCGCTGTACTTCTCTGTCACCGCTCTTCTCGCTGTCGAAACGCTTCGTACCGACGGCATCCAACTCGTCGATGAAGATGATGGCGGGGGCCTTTTCCTTGGCGAGAGCAAAGCAGTCTCGTACCAGCTTAGCTCCGTCACCAATAAACATTTGCACAAGTTGGGGACCGGCGAGCTTGAGGAAGGTGGCATCGGTCTGCGCTGCGCAAGCTCTGGCGAGAAGCGTCTTTCCCGTACCTGGAGGGCCGTACATCAGAGCACCTGGTGAAGTCAGTATTGTCTTGTCCAAGGAAATAGCGCCACCACAACGTACCCTTCGGCGCCTTGATGCCAATCTTCTTGAAGCGCTCAGCCTCCTTCATGGGCCAGACAATAGCCTCGACGAGCTCCTCGATCTGCTTGTCCAGACCACCAACGTCGGTGTACTTCTCCGTGGGCTTCTCGTCAACCTCCATAGCCTTGACTCTGCTGTCATATTCGGCAGGCAGAGTGTCGAGAATAAGGTAGGAGTCCTTGTTGACTCCAATCAGGTCGCCGGGCTTCAAGGTCGTAGGGTCGACCAGACCGATCAACGGCAGGAATATGGTTTGCCTAGTGGAGGTCTTGATGACTGCCGACTTGCCGACGCGGGTGGCATCCAAATCGATGTTGGCGCCCTCCTCAGATGATTCGGCGGTCGGGTCGAGATCGAGGAGTTCGACGACGTTACCAACGAGGTAGGGTAATTGGCTGGTGGAGCATGCAAGTCAGTCATTTCGTCATCACAAGCTGGATGGAGGGGCATACCGGTTGTTGGCAATCTTGTCGAGGTTCTCCTTGATCTTCTCCCCCATGGTAGCCTTCTCGTGCGTCAACCGTTGCAGTTCGCTGCGCATGATTCTGGAGTCGTTCTCAAGCAGGCGTTTGCGGGTCTGGATGTCCTGGGTGCTGAGATTCAGGATCTCGTCGTCCAAGATGTCTTCTTCGTCCTCCTCGGCATCCTTCATGTCGGCATCGCCTTCGCCTGTGGGCTTCTTCTTGTCCTTGTCCTTGTCGCCATCATCTCTCTTCTTCTCGTTCTGATCCTGACGATCGAGATCCTCAAGATCCTCGAGGGTCGACATGGTGGCGGGGTGTGCGGGCGGACGGAATTAAAAGTGCTAAATTATCGTCAAGGAGAGAACAATCGCCGTGTCTATCGTCAATGCGTCAGGTGTGATGGCGATGGTGGGGGAAATGCCGTTGTTCGTCGTGAGGTAGGTGTTTTGTTGAGTCTGAAAGGGACAGCTTCCGAGCTGCAGTCGTGAGGCTCGAGCTACCTTACTCTCTCAAGGCAAGCAACAGTCGCGTAATCAGCCTGGCCTAGAGCTGCCCTGTGCGTTCAGCCGGAGTGACCAGGCCGCAAAGCGCTAGGAGGAAAGTCCGACCGGATCCGGCTACTGTGCACTAGCCGTTTCTACACTGTACCACTTACTGTGCCGGATCAATAGCAAGCAACACGAGGTGAAATCAAGAACGAGCTACGCCTCTTTAGTCTCATGGAATGTTTTGATCTCTATTTTGTTTCTGAAAATTCGCCCAACTAATCGACATAAGAAATTGTCGCTCGCTATCGCATCTAACGAAATCCCAGCCCCATTTGACGCAGGGCCAAGCTCCAGACCAGATATCGCACCCGTGGACGCTCTTCCATCTTCCACCGATTAAAAGGGTATATGATGCGCACAAATGCATACAACCAGTCATTACACCGCATAGCTGCCATCTTACAACAGGACACTCCGTCATTAAATCATTCGTCGTCCAGAATACGGCTGGCCAACGCCCCGATGATGGGGACCTCGAACCTGCGACTTGTAAGCGCACGTCCCTGTTTGGGATGTTCATGAACATACCTATCCAGCGTATCCGCATCTTGGTATGCCTTCAGCGCCAGCCAGATCATCATGAAGACATCCCCGATGAAGAAGAGCCAGCTGAGAAATGCGGACCATGAGAGGAAGACCAAATGGAAGATCATGACTGCCGTGAAGAGCAGCGCTGACTGCCACGCATGGAACCTGTGCCCCCTGTCAGAAACTTGTACACCATCTGCCACCCATGCCCACTGAGAGCCATCGCGGGGTCGGCCATGTTGACATCCTTCGCGGCTCCGTGCTCAGGACCTCGAGATGCCTCCGCCGTGTCCCATTCCACGTACCTCACATAGTCGCTGTTTCGCTCCCCAATCAACAACAGGATGGCACCAAGTGGCGGGAAGGCCAGGTACGCCAAAGCCGCCTCGTAGTCCAACCGGATCCCCAAGCTCGTGTCAAACTCGCTCACGCCCTCCCGATGTGCGTCCGCCGAGGGATATGATCCAGGCAGGCTCGGTTGCCATCCACGCTGGGGCTGCGGGTGCTGCAGAGGAGGCGGCGAGGGCTGGTTGTAGGGCGAGAACGGCCGTCGGAAGTCGGCGGAGGCGCGCGGCGATGCGAGCGGCGGGGAGAGAGCTCTTTCGCGCTCTGGCGGGGAGGATTGGTACGGAGCGAAGTCCATGGTGATGCTCGGCCTCCGGAGTGCTTCTCGTCAGAGCGGGACTGCGCTTGATGTTTACTTTAAGAATCGGCTCGTCGTGAAGGAACGGACGTCGAGGGTGCGACAATCAAAGCAAGTCGGGTTTGCGGGGTGGTGGTGTTGATGGTGATATGTTGTCGAGGAATGCGTGGAGACAGTACGAATCGAGAGGTACGTCAGCTGGCCGATTTCGAGAGCTCAGAAACGCGCAATGGCATGGCGTCAGGTACACTACGCTGGACTCGAGGCACCTTCGCAACCCTTTTCCCGCTGGAGCTTGCGCCTCAAGCTTAATTAGGGGTCTTTTTCGGTCCGACGGCGCGTTCATGCAGGTCACCTGCAGCGGTCATGTTAGTGGCTTGCACCCCGCACCCACCACTCAAATTGGAGCATCCCTTCCAACTGTCAGTCTGTCACTGACGCACATCCATCTTTGACGATGGCCCAGGCCTAAACACATGTCAAGCTAACATAGTTCATCTGTTTAAAACTCCTGTCAACCAGCTACATGTGTCTGCGTTTAGGCTTGTTTCTTCACAGCAAACCAGGCAACATTCTCCTGAGACGGGCGCCTTCCTTGGAAGGCTGATCCTTGTCTTCGCTTGAAATGCCCCCTCTCATGTGGATTTAATAGAATACATTTCAATGCTTTGCGTGGAAGGGAACGAAAAACAGTGCTTTGGTAACCTGGTAAATAGCAGTCCCTAGTACGCTGTGACAGCGACCACATTGCTTGTAGGTTCTTTGTGATTACTACCGCTGCCATCGTCTTGTCGTTGCCGTCATTATAGTTAAGTACTGCCATAGGTAGACACAGAATCGATAGGCCATTTGTATCAGGAAACCGAGCTTCCATAGACGACAACTTGAGAGCCGCCGGCCCAACAATTCATGCTGGCACGTCGTAGCTCTAAAGTCACCTGCGTACCAGCAGAATGTCATAATAAACTCTATAGTAGAGATCCGTCGTCTCCTGATAATACAGACTTTTACAGGAATATCATACACTCCCTCCCATCTACTCAGTCTTCTTCTCTTCAGCCTCAGCCGGCTTGCCCTCCTCCTCCAACATCGTTTTCCGTCCCTCCAGCGTCAGCCACAGGCTCTTGCTACCAGCCTCCAAAGCATTCGTAAGACCCAGACCAGCGCTCTGGAGAATGTACACAAGCTGTGCCCTCAAGCCATCCAGGCCACCCTCGATGCCACCAACCCACTTGACGCCCTCCACGTCAAACACGTCACCCTCAACACGTCCACCGACGAGCAGCAGCTTCTGCAGACCGTTCTGCACCAGCGGGTCGTAGTAACTCGGGTTCTTCTTCCTCGTCGGCGCCGGGAACTTGGGCGGGCTGGGCGAGAGAATCCTCAGCGCAGCAGCCAGGTGCGCAGGCGACACGGCGGGGAACACGAGCGCCGCCGTCGGTCCGCACAGCAAAGGCGAGATCTGCGCGTAGGCAGAGTCCTCCGGCACCTCAAAGCTCTTCATCGCCTCGTACGCCGCCATGCTCAGATCGTGCACCAGCGGACCCTTGCGTCCCTGCGGCGTGTTGGGGTTCGCCTTGGCGACCTCGGGGTCGTAGAACTCGGCCAGCTTCAGCGCGACGTTAAACATGCGCGTGCGCAGGACCTGCAGGTGGACGTCGCGGCCCAGCACCGGGGAGCCTTCGGGCGTGGCTGCGTCGAGGGCGTTGTTGAGCTCGCGACGGACGGCGGACCACTCGTCTGCCGTCAGGTTGCTGTGCTGGAAGAAGAGGATGAGGGGCGTCGTGCGGAGGAGGGAGGTGTAGGTTCGGATGAGCTGCGACTTGCGGGTCTCGGGCGGGCGGGCGGAGGGAGGCTTTGTCGCGGGGACGTAGTCGGCCGGCATACGAGAAAAGGAGCTGCCGGGGCCTGCTGCTGAGGGGGCCGCGAGGTAGGGAGTTGTGGTGCTGAGATATCGCGCGATCGGGGTGGAGGGGGTCGCCAGCCTGCGCAGGGCGCGGGCGGCCTGTGTTGGTAACCGAGGCGGCATTCTGCAACATAGAGTCAGTCAATGGATCACGGTGAGATTTTGGGGGGCATCATACGTGTCTGGTGAGCAGGAAGTGTCTGTCCTGCCGCTGGATATGCTGGTGATGGAAAAAGTCGACGAAGCTTTCGAGCTTCAACTTCGATCGGACAAATTTCTGGTGGTCCGTGCACCATTATCGAGGTTGATTTGATTGGCCAATCAGCCACACCCCTTTGACTACTCGTCAACCCGATGATGTATTCACTGACCCCAGCGGAGAGCAAAGGCTTCTGAAAAGAGTCGAACGAAATGGGGGAAATTGAAGAATAAAGATGACCATCACTGAAATATGAGACCAGCTACACGGTCGCTCGGCATCTTCTAGGTGGTCCGGCATTGGTCCGGCCGTGTGGGGCCGCGTCTTCGGATGGCTGCCGCCTCCATCGTGAAGGGTTGAAGTCTCATAATCCATGTTCAAGTTGCAGAAATCAAACTGAACTCCACGTTGAGTTGTTCTTCAGTCACTGAAAAAGAGACATGGGGGCTGTTTATAGAAAGGTTGCGGCCATATTGGTGCCATGTACCATTATGGCTCGGAAAGCTTTTTTCGTTGACTCTAGGAAACCTACTTAAAGACTCAGAAGTTGACGCCATGTCTTGAAAGACTTTGCCCAGATTTTGTCAATCATCGCACACATTTCAAACTAAAGACATCTTTGTGCTACTTAATCTCCACCATTTCAAAAGTAACCAACATGACTACCACCACCACAACAAGAACGAACATGGCTGTCAACGAACGCTATTTCGGTCACGCTACTGATTATTTTCTGGATAACTTGAAATTCGCTGATAAAAATCTCCGAATTCGCGGCCGATGGATCACCCACCACAGCGAACGATTTGCCTCAACCCTTCTTGCCGCGTCAGCAGAAGGAATCGAATGGGCACGCAAGAAAGAAAAGAGGCTAACCAGCGAGTGTCTAAAGAGGACCGCCACACACAAGAGAAAGTTAGAAGAAGCCTTCAGAGACGAGGCTCGATATTTTGACTTGATTATCGAGTTAAAGCAGATCCTTCGAGAGCATTACCTACTAAAATATCTCGGCTGCCGCCGAAAAGATCTCACAGCCACCTTCCAAAAATACGGTGCTGTTGAGAAAGTCAGCGAGTTCTTCCGATGCGAGCACTTGCGTCGCAAAGGCATGACCTGGGGAGAAATGATTCAGGCTATAGATGAGGAAGAGCGCCAGCTCTGGACGTGGCAGACATCGCACAGTCTTCAGGATATTACGCGTTATGGCGAAAACATTCTCCGACCAAAGCCAGCAGCACCAGTCACAGAGATTGCGAAAGGAATTGCCGATCTATGTGGCGAGCTAGACGGATTCGATGGCGCAACTGCCTTTGAGTCATTAGTCTCCATCGTCCGAGAGAATACAGGAAAGTCTGATCGGGACTTCAATGAATACACGGCACTCCACTGGACCGCATCCTGGGGAGAGTTAGCCAAGCGACTCCGCAATGACAGCGCTCTATTAGATCGGAGATTTGCCGGAAATCACAACGAGGCATTGAGAGACCTACTTGAAACAAAGATCGACGAGATGAATTGCCGCCTTTTCAAGAAGAACCTTGTAAGCATTAGGATAGGCATCAACTTGGTGGAGCCGACACGAGAGGCATGTGAAGAAGCCATCTTTTATAAAGCTGGTATAGAGAGGTTAGGCCAGAATTGGCAGTGAGGGTAGACTCTTCGAAGTACTTGACATCTATCACATCATGTAATAGGGACGATAAAGACGACAGGGACAGTAGAGACGACAGGGACAGTAGAGACGACAGGGACAGTAGAGACGACAGGGACAGTAGAGACGACAGGGACAGTAGAGACGACAGGGAGTAGAGACGACAGGGAATAGACAGGACGGAGATTATAGGGACAACGGCCTGATAGGAGCAGAGAACAGTTGGTATGATAAAGAAAATACAGCTCACGCAAGGCCTAATGCTCGTCAAACTACCTAAATACAGATGTCGACTTGCCCTAAGTTTCCGGCATCAAATCCCCTAACCAATAGAGCTCTCTTCTGAAAGAATACTGAGGCTTCACTTCTTAGCAATGTTCAGGCCGTGGAGCTTTGCCTGCAGGTGTTCAATGGTCTCAGATGCATTTGTGCTCATCATCAAGTGACCGATACCAAGGAACATCTGAGCTTCGTCCTGGGTCATGTTCTTCATGAAGTCCATTGCTCCATTGGGGGTCGTCAGAGTGCGGAACAACTCAGGCGTGATGGGGCCGTCCAATTTGTTGCCACCGAGCATCTTTTCGCAGAAGGTGAAAAATCGTTCAACCTCACGCTTCGGAATACCGCTCCACTGAAGGAAAGAAGACTCGATCGCGCGTGTCTCTTCAAGACCGAAGTCTCCAGCGAGGTTGTAATGCTTGGACAGCTTCGATCCGAGGATGTCTGCGGCATCAAATGGATGCTTCTGGCGGTGCTTCACCAACCGGTCGATCCACATAAGGACAAGGCGGCGTGTCTCCGAGCCGGCCGGCAGTCTTTTGTTCTGCTCGCTAATGGTGCCCATGATGGTCTTGTGTGCACTAGCTTTCATCCATATGTTCTTGTAGAGGGCAACCTCGGCCTCTCTCCATGTCATGCCGATCGTGTACTCGTGCGAGTATGGGTTGGGGTCGTGGTAGAGGTATCGTTGGCAGTGGCCGGCAGCACGACTCTTGGCGGTAGCGTCCTCCAGAATCTTATCTGTCAATGTCAGAAAGTGCTGGAGATAGACTTCGTACGGCTCGTTCTTCAACTTGGCCAGGTGCCCGGGTCCCTTCATGTCCGCCCAATGCTGGGCGAAGTATCTCATAATCGACGACCGAAGAGCCTCTGAAATACCGTCGCGAGTGACGACGAGGCCCTTCTGTTTGATAGGATAAGGGTGAGGAACCCATCTCTCGATAGGGTAAAGGGGCACCGAGGCCAGGCACGACACATGACGAGATTTGACGTAAGCATCGTATGGGAGCACAATGTGATCATGGCCAACTTTGGAACCAAGAAGGTCAATCACGTACACGCCTTCTTCCGTTGAGACGCCTCTGATGTGGCAGCTGAGGATTGGGCGAGGCCAGAACATAGGATCTTTGCCTTTTGAGGTCTGGAACTCGTTGGTTTCGCGCGATATATCGCCGGCAGTGGATGCAATCCATTCAGCATTGCGACTGAGGACGGTCATCTCGACAATCGCATCACAGTGTGCTACCGCTGATCAGCATATTGTGACAGTTGGAAATGAGGATAAAGATCACTTACGCGCAAGGATGAGGTATATCAAACCCTGAAGGTGATAGTAGATGTTGTCGGTAGCGTCCCACGCTAAAAGCTTCCTCTTGACGTCCGGGTCCGCTGTTTTCAGACATGCCTTCCAGTCCAAACCTTCTCGACCAAGCCAGGGCCCGCAAGCTGCGACTGTTGACGAGAAAACGGTGCGAGAGTTCTTCATAGTCATCTTGTCAGCCAGGTCTTCGGTCGCGGGCATGTCTCCTCTTCCGTCTAGATTCATTGTCACTGCCGCATCAGTGAAAAGCTCGGAATAGGTAAAGCTCTGGAACTTTTGAGCCACGGCACGTAACATGTCGACGGCGCGGAGGAAGTGCTTTCGCTTCTGGCAAGCGTAATAGTGGTTGTTTGACCAATCTGCCTTCTGACACTTCTCCGAACAATAGGCGCGCCTCATGTAGCGGAATGCCTCGACGTGGCAGCCTGAGCAGTGCCGCAACCTGTTGGGTGAATTGGCACAGCGGACGTGACAGAAAGCGCACTTGTTCACATCAAGAAGCTCATGAAGATCATTCAACTTGGTGCTCGCAGCTACTTGATGTAAACGGTTGTCAGAATCCTCGTCATGTCGTCCTTGGTAGATGAATCGAGTGTATCGAAGCCAGGCTTGCTTTCTGGGTAGTTCGGTTGCATCGTTCGAAGAAGAAGATGCAGGATAGGCGCCAGGTACGGAGAGTTCATCGGCGGCGACGGGGGCCGGGCTGACTGGAATAGTGCCAGAGACAGCGAGTTGACCGAGAAGCTGACTGAAGGTGCAACGGATGGAGAGATCAGACCGTTCGTGGAGAGAGAACGCAAACCGCGTCAGCCACCAGTAATCATGGGCGTTGGGGTCGCTCGAAAGCTGGACGACACGCTGCAGTGAGGAGTTCGCGTAAGGCCAAAGGGCGAGTACAAATCGGCGGTTGTAGTCAGCGATACCCTTCTCGAGCTTTACGTCCGGAGAGATGACCTTTTCGTCATCGGCCGGCGTGGGAAGCGCAGCAAACATGCGATCGAGCGGGTCTCCAGGCTGCCGATCGTAGCGCTTTGAGCGGTCGAAATAGTCAGGGAGACCATCCTGGAAAAGGTGGTAGTCGATCTCAATGAGATTTCGCCGAGCTTCTTCATCGAGAGTGTCTGCCGTTTTATTTTCCTTGCGCTGAAAACGAAGACAGCTATTAGTCAGAAGCCTATAAATGTAGTGGAAGACGTACAGAGTAGCCTGACACATCGAGGACGCGCTCGAGGTGATGGCGGTCGGCCAAAGTGAACCAGGAGGGCGTGGGGGTCGGATAAAGACCGCCGGAAGCCATCTCGATGGTTTTCTGGACAGGAGAAAATAGCAAAAAGATGGCGAGGACGGAGATGTTGAGAAATACTTCGGAGAGGACGCGAGCAATGGGATGGTCGAGAGACGCAGGGTGCGATCAACCCGACCAAGGATAATTGCCGTTGTTTTGTGCAGAGACGAAAGAATGCGAAAAGAAGACGAAGAGATTTTTTCCTGTGGTTGTGTGAAAATGACAGAGAAACTCATTCACCTGTTGTGAGGTAGTAGGAAGGAGCCCTCGTTCGTTCCTGCCTTTCTCACTCTTCATCCTGAGTTCGGGTGGATCACAATGGGACACGCAGCTGAGGCAGCAACTCGACAGAAACTTCGATGAAATACAAACAAATTCTTTACCTTTGAGCTCTGAAAATCAGTGACTCCTCGTCAAATCAACGCCAGCAGCTCTTGGCCGACTAGGCCACCACCAATCCTTACCCTGGCCGACCCCTTCATGGGTGTGCTCTGTCTGGTCAGTCTCTTCTCGTTTCGCTGTACCCTCGGCTTCCAATTCTGCCAGAATTGCCACACTCCGATCGTTCCAAGGTCGATATGTCTCAAGCCATTGCCTCCATGTCTTTTCTACAACCCCTTTTTGAGACCCATCACTCAGAGTCAGATGACCGTGCTCGAACTGACGTCTCAGCGTGCCGAGTATAATCTTGAAGGTGCTAGCTGAAACTATGGTCGCCCAGTTCCACGGGTAGCCCCTTTCAGCTTGTCGTTTACGCCATGCTTCGGCTCGCATGAAGTACTCAAGCACCAAATCAGGGGCAGTCTTCGGCATCGCGCGGCTTTCGTTGGCCCAAATTCTCTTGTGTACTCGAGCTTGCTCTTCTCTACTATTCGTTGACATGGAGGCTCTAGTCTCCTCGAAGTTGATTTCTGCTGTTTCTATATCCCGAGCGGATATGAAGATCCCCTGTCTTTTGCCGTCGTTGTTCAAGAACGTTGGAACACAACTAGCCATGGCGCAGAGGATCGGCGGGGAAATTGCGAATGCCACAAGATCATGAAGTCCAGCTCCCATATCTTTAGCTATACTCTCAAAGTCGGACAAGAGCGCCCTTAATACATCTTTTCTGGAGTCCTTGTCATTATAGCGTAGGATCTCCTGGGCGAAAATGCCAAAGCCGTCATCGAACTTGATGGTGTACCGGCATGTCGACGCTTCGCAGTTGGGGAAACCACACCAGCGCCAGTTACAATCTGGTGCATTACCCAATTCCCGAAGCTCGCGATCCTTGTAACGCTCTGTTATCTTTCGACGACGAAGCAGGATGTTGTAATACGCATCATGTCGATGATTCCTCGTCGATCCTCCAAACGCAAAATTCGGAAAAGGGGCTCGGGCACGCTTATCTACGACTTCAGTGGTGAAATCTGGAGGTGTTTTCCAGCTGTCATCCAGGAAAGTTTGGGACATAAACCACTCCAGAGCAGGACCATGCTTGCTATAGTCCAGTTTTGGAACGGGTGGAAGTTGTTGCAGTTCTCTTAGGTCTGGGGCGGAACGGCTGCTTCGCAGTGAGTCCTCGCTTCCGCTGCTGCTGGCTTCATCATCTGAGCCCCAGTCTGATAGGGCCAGTGGAGGTGAAAGTTCGAGGCTTCCAAGGCTTCGGACGCTTCTGAGGGAACGTAATGAGGGTGATGAATCCGCATCTCTCTCCGAAATTAGTTCAAAAGAATTATCAGGATCACCCAGAAATGACCAGTCATGACTATCATCCAAGGCAGATGATGAAGACGTCTCACGATAATCTCGCCGGTTTTCGTCTTTGTCGTCGAGCCCTTGACGTTTCTCAGAAGGAGGATTCGGGAAGAAGAAAGAATTGCCGCTATTATCGGTCATTCTGGTTATTGTTCGAGCAAATTGCTGGTTATCGAATACTCTGGGTTAGGATTATGATGCTAATCGTCGGAATCTGGTGTTGCATTGAAGAAATAAGAAAACAACGGCTCGGCCATTTAAGTCCTGCTTGAACGATGTGGCTTCATATATAGGCGACTGGATCTCTCCAAACATATCATAACTGGCTTCATACAATGCCAATGAATACGAACAATACTCGGTAGCCGTTCTTTCATGACGCACCCGAGGTTTGGTCTCTGTGATATCTGGCCAAAGCTCCAACGTCATAACAAAGGTCCATGGACAATGGCCTGCCCAGCCAAATTGTCCCCTCGTATTGAAACCAACTCCATCACAAACTTGCCAGTTTCCAGTGTCAAACAGTAGAAGTTTTGCAAGAGACGTGCCGACAGAGAGATATGATATGCGACGAAATTTCAATATGTGCAGTTTTAGTTCTAATGACGTCTATTCAACGAAGGCCATATCAAGAGTTGAAGAATTCAGGCTTTCAAAGACTGAAAGAACAAAGGAAGGCAAGGGCCCAAAAAGCTTCAAACCTAGTAGAACTGACCTGAAGACTCCTAGATGAAGGGGAAGTTGCTTGCCTAGTCCAGATCTGATCCCTTGTTGACTTGATACCAGCTATCTTCCAACTCGCCGTTATGGTCCTCCAAGTCTGAGACCTTCTCTTTGCAAATTGCCTCTGATGGTGTACCTGCGGCCTGGTTCGCACCCTTGAAGCCACCGTCTTCATCCAAAATATTAGTAGCAGCGGCCGATTGCAAAGCTTTAGTAGTCTCTTGCTTGCGGCGTGCGGCCTCCTCGGCCAGTTCTTCGGTCCGGCGAGAACGGGCCTCGTAGCCGGCTACTAGCTGCTTCACACGACCGCCCCCAAAGGATCCAACTCGAGCAACTCCAGGGTTTCCAACCGCCAAGTGCTCATAGATGTCTGGAGATCCAATGGTGTTGCTGCGATTATTGATGTTTGACTTATTGGGATAGGAGTTCGAAAAGTCGACGGGAGCATCAGATGGCTTGCTATCCTCCATCCATTGCATGCAACGGGCATGGTATCCGGCGCCACCCTGCATGTTCTCGAAAGTGTCTGACATCGTGTTGGTTGGTTGTGAAGAGTGTGTGTTGGGTTATGTTGATGGTATGCGTTGCTCCAATTGACTCAGTTGGAAATGTCTTGCTTCTGAGACTTGAAAGAAGACGAAGGCAAACTGGTTCATATATGCAAGCTCGAGAATGAATTTCAAATTTGAATCAATATAATTATTTGGTTCTGTAGAAGACCAAGCAGTTGAATAGGCTTCTTGTTGTCGTCCCCAGGACAATGAAAATGAAGATCTACAAGTTCAAAGAACAGGCTGCATCATGCACTATGGTTTCTGTCTGGACACAATGAAGGTGGTCCAAGAGCAAAAGAATCAATTGAACTGCCCTATTGCATCTCGTGAAGAGTGCTTTTGCTCATAGAACATTAGTCTTACGGTCCGTATTGTCAGAAGATATCAAAGCATATGGAAATCGTATGTGTTTGACTGGCCAAGATCTCAGAATCAAAGTCATTGTTGCCTCTAGCCTACAGCCCCGAGATGAATTGCAAAGCCTCATTCTCAAATCCCGATCCTAGAAATCTGCAGCGTTGGAGTGGCGAAGAGCATAAGACGGTTTCATGGGAACAATCAACTGTAGTCTTCCGAATATCCAATCTTCACGGTCTGGTCCTCCGACACTCTGTCCCATTCTTCGTTCAGATACCTGGAGCTTTCTAAAGCACCGTGCATATGAGGAAGAAAGGAGAACCCATGTGTTGGCTTGAGCCAAACTCATTTCAGGACAGAAAAGACGGTTCGTCGAAGTGCAAAGGTTCAAATATGCGCAAACGTCGGTGAAGTCCATCAAGAACTGTATTTCAACCACTCAACGTCCAATAATATGTAAGTCCCTAAAAGGTCACTTCACGACTCGCTTGGTTTTCTAGTTGGTATGCCTCTGTGCTGCACTCGGTGAAGTCATCTTTGGGGACGTTGTCGATCGGATCTGAGACATGCCGAAACCATAGCAGAGTCCGCCATTCCAACTTTGATCGTGGCTGGCCGGTTGCGATGCGATATGAAAACAAGAAAGCACAGGATGCTACGAGGGGAGCCACTATGGCAACCAATAGACAAAACAAAAACCACTTTAGGGAGCAGAGAATGCCTTGCGGGCGACACTAAGAACCCCAAATCCAGCCATGCGAAGAGGCGTAGGTTGGAAGACACGACGTTAAACCACCCTGGCCGTGACGCCAAGGGAAGTTTGCTTGCTCGTTCGATCCAGGGGCTTGCGCGCTGGGCAAGACTCCATGCGATGTGGCGCTTCGGCGGACATGAATACATGCGCACTTCCAGCCACAGCGCCATTTCGTCCGGTTGAAACCAAATATAGGTACCCAAAGCCTGTATGCCGGTGTTAGGTGGCCAGCTTGCGCGCTGGAGATGCACAATATCTTAGGTATTGGGGGCGAGTGTCACGTCGGACCAATGGCAATGAAAGAGATTCACAAAGCCTTAGTGTATGCGCAGAAGCCGAAGAGAAAATGTTTCCAATTTTAAGCTTATCACAGTCTGATCGCCGCGGAAAGCGTACCCCATCGAGATGCACCTGGCGTCAGTAAAGTGATCGACTCTTGTTTGTCCTTATTAGACCGTGGCACATGTGCCAGACAAGGAAACCCACAGCAACGGAAACTCCCAGACGTTACTGACACCATGTGTTGCTCGTTGGGATACGCTCAAAAATAGACATCTCCCGAGTCTCAGAGGTCGATAGTGCTGGCAGGCCGGGCCAGATTAGCCCTCCAATGATGCTTATTGACGGGGTCCTTCTGATACAGGTTGATCTCGAAAAACCTATCGTGAATGTCACATTTGAAGTTCTTGAACCTGAATAAGACTTGTCAGCAGGGGCATTTTCCTAAGTCTAGAACCGTCCAATGCGAGAAGGACTCGTCGTGGAAGGAGGAAGAAAGGGAGGTTCCATACGAATTGACCTTCTGAAAGTTGATTTGGATCAAGAAGTCTTCAGCGACCTCGACATATGAATGGGTGCAATCCGCAAAGTTGACAAAGTATCGCTTGCTCTCTAGCGGCCCATAGTTGACTTGACGCACCAGCTGGATTGCATAGAGAGGAATCCGGTTGGAACTATCGATCTTGGGAGTTGCTTCTATGACTGTCGGCTGGCTGTCTTTGGCCCAGGCCATGAATTGAGTGAACCTGACCTCATGATCGGTATGTAGAGCCTTGTAGGGCTTGAGGGACTCGCAGCAAAGTAGTGCAGACATGGCGTCTAATTACTTGATTGATGTTCAGCCACAGAAAGAAAATAGTTCGGAGAGACTTGCTGGATTGTGGAAGGAAAAGAAAACGGAATTCCTCCATTACCATTTAATACAAATCCATGAAAGCAACATTTGAAGTACTCGGTCTGTCAGGACCTAGCCGCGGGTACCACGAAACCAATGCCATCTCTGTTGTCATTGGTTATTGCACATCAGATGAGGCCTACAAGAAATAAAATTTCACAATACATGAAGACACATGGGCCATGGTCACCGAGGAGATAGAGTTGAGGCCTACCATTCCACGCGTCCAATCATACTGGGCGCTTGTCATCTTGCTCAGAACGCTCCCGGCGATAAATACCTCCCCCAACCAACGTGCTCATTTCCGGCATTTCTATTCCTTCCCCACGGCCGGCACATGTTGTGCGAAGCCTGCCACTCTTTTCCACAACCTTCGTTGCCGACCAGATCACTCTTTTCTTGCTTTGAAGTTTAGCCCTTGGACTCTTGTTCTTGCCATCACCATCCAGCAGGCTTACCACTCCTTCAACTCTTTCTTGGGTAGGCCTTAATCTCAAGTTCAGACCCCTCAGGCTCGACTGGTCTAGGGTTCTTTTATCATCATCATCAGTCTCTCGAAACCGTTGATCCTCTGTGGGTTCAGACCGGTAGTGGAGGGCCACTCGAAGAATATGATTGGAGCACTGCGTCTAGCTTTCTTCAGCCTGCTGGGCATATCGACGGGGAGCAGGAGAATCATGGGCAAAATGGAATCGAAGTCGAGAGGAATTTTATTCCTCAACAGTCCTTACCAGAAACACACCAATATCCTGGCAATAACAACTATCAGGACGATGCGTCCGCTGAGGAAGCCATTGGGGTCCATGATGGAGAGTCTGGCCCTTGGCGATGCAACCAATGCCAACGTGTTCACCAGAAGCGATACCTGCTCAAGTAAGTCTCTCTCGAGATTAGCCAAGAGGTGATTTAATTTTGGTTGAAGCCGATGCATCAAGAAACACGCCAGACAATTCAAGTGCACAGAAGACGGTTGCTCTTCAACATTTGTTTACAGGAAGGATCTACGCCGCCATCGGGAGGACAGACATCCTGAAAGTGTGGAGGGTTTCTTACCTTACTTCTGCCCTCACAATGGCTGCAAGTATTCGGAAGGGGAAGGCCGTGGATTTCCCAGGAAATACAATCGCGATAGGCACGTCCGCACACAGCATCGTAATCAGCCCTTGGGCTAGTAGAGTCAGACTTAATGAAACGGAATGCCAGGCATAAACCTTTGACCTCAAAGTACTGTGACTCGAATCCACTCATGCCGTCAGCGACATCCAACCTTCCCGCACGGAGAACGAGCGCCATTAACCGCCGGCACCGTCGAATTTCCAACCCCAACGGCCAGCTGCGCGGCCCAAAGCCGCTAGCGCGAGCAGCGCAAAATTCCCAAGCGAGTTTGGCGGAATCAGAATGCTGTGAATGGCCAGCCTTGTGCAACTGCGGAACTCGTAATTCAGTTGGGGGACTGTGGCTTACGCTAGTTAATCTCACCACGAGACTTAGGCTCGATTTTTGCTCCCTTTTTGTCTTAGCTGTCAGCCCCAGCTGTTCAGCTACATCATCCCGGCCGGAAGCTATGAGGGGTCTTTCAGATGATCTGAGCCGTGAAAGGACAGAAAATCTGCGGCTGTATGCCGGGGATTATTTGCGTCCGGAATGTTGTGACCTGAAATGGTGTCGATCTCGCGGCGAGCTTAGATATAAGCATGTCTGTCTCCCCCCTCCCGGCAGATGCCCCTGCCCAGCTTTTCCCCTCAAATCGGCAGCTTATACCCTGGCAGACTGCATCCCAAGGGTGATAATACGACCATAACTTGGCAGAGGGCCAGCCAGAAGGGCATCGTGCATAGGATCTCCCATTATGGCCAACATCGATCAAGACCTTTGGGTTCCAGGCAACTTGACCTGGGACCAGCTAAACTTCCATAACAACTGCACTGGTAGGTAGCCTCCTAATCTCTACCAGCTTTGATTGCGGTGATGTAGCTCACAACGAAAATAGCATGGGGTCAATGGCTCGGAGCATTGGTACAACCTGACCCTTGGGACCCAAGTTCGACACGCGGAATGAGCATGGAACTCTCGATGATACTCTTTCTCAACTCCATACCCGATAATTCCAGTAACTATACCAGTCTGACTACGTGGTACGCCGATGTATCTTCTTTCTTCGCCTACAACATGATGCACACTCCTATTCCCAACGCCACCTCCCCCAAATATTATCAGTTTAGCCAGCGATTCAACGATACCATTCTTTGGGGCCCGAAAGAAAAGTGCGAGGCCGATTTTTGCAAAGCTGTCGGATATACAGGGAGTCAGGATCTATGTGGTATTGGAGTAGGTGTCTCTCATGTGCGTAAGTGTTCAGTTTGGGCTGATGTGTTTGTAGGTAGTGGTGTCCTATTTCCTCGAAGCGCTTCTAGGGACGATATATCTCATCGCCTTCACCGTCCACCAGTCGATCCGATACATCAACAGAAATACGTACAAGAAAAAGAGACAAGCTGGCCAACCACAGACTATCAGCGAACGAATCCTTGACTCTTTCCGCGGCTCCTTGGACATGTTCCTAAGCGGCGCTATGCTGATTGCCGTCGCCATGCTGGGGGCGGCGCTGTATTCCAGTATCACCAACAAAGAGGAGAGAGAAAAGGTCAATCCGGATCTGCCTTCAGGCGAAGCCGTCTATGAAATGGCGCTCTCCCTGATTGCCTCCAACTTCTCGGTATTCCCAGTCATGCTACTCTATGCTTTAGTAAAGCATGACGGCCATCGGAAGTGGCTTCATCGCGCTGTGTTGTTCATTCTTTGGGGCCTGAGCGCATCCGTAGTCTATATGGCGCCGAGAGCTGAGGTGGACTATGCGGAGCGCAAGAGTGGCCACGAGAACTTTGACTGCGACCAGCGCGGCTCGCAATACTGGCACGTTGTCAAGGCGACCCAATTCCTTGTCATAGGGATGCCTCTACTCTGGCTTGTCATCACCATATTCCTGACCACAGGCTTCAAGATCCCTGGCTTGGTCGACAAGCCCTGGGTCAAGACATGGAGGTCAATATGGCGCCTTCTGATTGCGTGGATCAACCTATTTCTCATGTGGGGCATTCTCGCCTACTTCACGCACTTCAGACAGAAGATCATTGATGCGGCGGGTGGTCTCGACAAGAACGATAAGTGGACATTTGGTCAGGTACTTGCCTTAGCTGCCTGGGTTCCAGTCGTTGCAGAGCTGTTCTACATCTTGGCTTGTGAGTGCTCAAACTTTGAATTGAGGAACCATCGGATGCTGACATTGTTGCAGTTGGCCTGGAAGACAGTCTGTCAGGACATATGCCCTCAGACTACCACGCTTCGCTTGTCGGAAACACTGCCCAGGTTGACCCAAGTCAGGAGAGACCTTTACTTCATAGGGATTCGACCTACGATATGCGACATACTTCAGTCTACAGCCAAGCGTCGATGTATGATCTCAAACAAACTTCCACAAATGCCTCGTCTGCCACAACTCTCGCTTCTCCACCCGCATCAACACCTTCGAATCAAATGGCGTGGCACGACCCAAACTACCAACCATTTCAACAACAACACACAACAAATGCCCAGAGGCATCAGAGCTGGGATCCCTATTACCATACTGGCTGGTAGTAATACTCTCCGAAGGAGCCATATTCGCTTCGAATACAGAGAAGAAGGAAAAAGAAAACACGGAACTATAGCATCATGTAAGATACGTAGCAAAAGAAAGCATGGATCCTAATGTGACGGAAAGCGTGCATGGATAGATAAACGTACCAGAATGACAGCTTCTTGTAAACTAGAAACCCGCTAATACTGGGCAGTTAAATGCTTTTTCAACACAGTAATGCTGCTCACGAGCCGCGCTGATGACATTGGGTCAGTTGAAAAAAGTCATCAATTGTTGATGTATGTATTCATTTGATCACAAGAATCACAGTCAAATTTGAAACGGTGGGAAGAACGAACTGATTCGTGAGCATGGCCACTATGTACCGAAACAAGAGGAAACAGGAGTTCAGGACAAGAATCAAATTACATTCAAGCCATACTTTCATCCGAATTACGCTGTTTAACTCCACAAAGATTGAGGGAAAAGCCTCTATAAGTCTATTGTTCTAGGTTATTTCCAGAATTGAGACAAATCAAGCATGGCGAAGGGTAGATCCGCATCATCGTGATCACCCATCTGTTCCACAATAGACAAGAAATCATCGGATGATATTCCAATACTATCAAGGAACTCGGCGTTGTTCGGCGTTTCTGGTGCGCAAACCAGGGGCTGAGGCTCGCTGAGCGTAGTAATGGAAGCCAAATCAGGTTCCGCGGTTGAAGACTCCCAGATACTTGGGAATGGCCGCAGTTGAAGCGAACGAACACGGGGCCTCGAGGTTTGAACGCCAGGTTGGTTAGCCCGCATGGCAAATTCATTGAAAAGAAATTCCAGATGAGTCAACTCAGCCTTTCGTACTTCAGCCACGGAGTTGCCCTTGTGGATCATGTCATCCAAGATTGCATGTGCTTCTCTGCCGTGTGTTGGCCCGTCTATTTCGGTTGTAGATGGAAATAAGGCATTTGCAATGGTGAGATGAATCGCCGCACCGTATGCGTATTCAAGATCGAAAGGAAGGAAGACCTCTATTATCTGGTAAGTCTGATGCGATTTCGATGAGTGGCCTGGAAACGCTTACCGATTAGAGTATCCTCTCCAGAGAGGATCTGGAGTGTCTTAACTGCTGACTTGATTCCTGTTGACATCAACGGGATAAGTGGAGCCATGAAGTCCTCCAGGTCCGGTAGTCCTCGGCCAAAGTGGTCGAGTCGTTGTTTAAGCGCTGACAGAAGTAGTGGCCGTGTGGCGATGACCACGCACTGGGCATTGGATGTTAGCAGCAAAACCCATAGGTTGGGATTGGCGCGACCGCACTTGATGGTATAGAAGAGTAATATCTCTCGTTCCTTTTGGCATCGTGTCCACCGAGTTTTGAAATTTGACACGAGTGATCTTTTCGATCTCCTGGGCATGTCCTGCCAGAGTGTGTAGAATTGACTTTGTTTCCTCAAGAAACTTGCCTAACGGGGTCTTTTCAGATTTGTAAACGGCTAAATAAGCCATTAGTCGTGAACAAACTCTGCAGGTGATACTGGCTGCACATTGACTAACTGTTGATGATGGAGGAAAGCAGATGAGATAGCTTTACTCTCAAACCCAGAGTTGTGTCCTGAGGTGATGCCATGCTGGGCGGATCGAGCAGAGTTGTAATGTCAATATCCTGAGTATTCATCGGAACGCCCAATGAGCATGAAAAGTGGCGGTCCATGATGTAAAGAGTCCACCACAGCTTCCGACAGCGGGCTACTGTGTCAGATCCTAAGGCTTCTTCGGGCAGCTGGGTGTGTAGGCCTTCCAACTGGGCTATCCGTATTGCCTGGGCAACCTTGAATGTGGAAATGAACGTCAGCTCAGTCTCGTCGAGAAAGCTGTATACTTACATATAGCTGTGCTGACTCTCTTTGATAAATTGAGTATAAGTACAGACCGGCTAGGGCCAGAACCTCGATTGCAAGAAGGCTGTCCTTCCACAACAGCGAGGGATCAGGCAAAAGTGACATCGCACGAATGAAAAACTTGGAGCCTGGCGGCTCTTTGGGGGTTTTCGATCTCGAAAGAAAGGCTTGCCCGAATGACAAGACCAACAAAAACTGAACAAACCACAGCCGCGACTCGGCTGCTTTTTGAACGGGATTACCATAGTAGAACTCATTGACATTCTGGACGAATACCTCGTCATCGAGAAATTGATAGTTCTGACCCAGGTGAAATTTCACTGTGCTGTATAAATAAAGAGCATGCTCAATGGAAGGAAGACCTTTGATATTAGGCGGCTCATCTGCGCCTGCGGCACTCCACTTTAGAGTATATATTTCGTCGTTGAGGAAGCTCGGCGCACTGAAGGGAGTTTCATGCTGGAGCTTCTCCGCCATCATCAGAGTAAGTCGGGCGGTAAAAGACCATGTTGAAGACGGTGCCAGCCAGACTATCAAGATCCCATTAGCTAGTCTCAGGTGCAACACGACAGAAAAGAACAAGAATTACTCCAGTTTCGTTTGTTTTGGTGAGTGTTTCGGATCGTCGTGGACGGCAACGTGAAGGGACTTGTGTATACACAATGTGTTTCATCGCTAGATTGGACTATTCTTGAACCTCTTCTTGGTGACGATACTGCAACTTGAAATATGTCAGAAAAGGGATGAACGTGCTTTAACTTTGTAATTCACTCACCGTCGTCATCGTTCTCGGAGCCGAAAGCAGCATCACACGATCTCTTGCTTCCGGTCGAACACACGTCCGAGGCTCTTCTTTCTCTATCATCTTCGCTTCTGACGTGAATCGATCTCTCTGAAGACGATGCCTTGGTGCCCGAATCCTCATACTTGCATCTGACCACGCGTCGTCTACAGTTTGCACATGGCTCATCACCAGTGCACTTGATTTTGCTCGTCCGACACGGTATGCATCTGAAAAGTATCCATGTGAGATCTGGATTTGCGGAGGATTGTAGTGAGTCTTACGCGTTCGTAGTCCGCCTGATCTTCCTCCGACCACCGTCCATTTTCGAAGCACGGTCAAAAACGAGGCCTGTTGGGCAGCAAGAAGGACAATGGCTCTTTGTTTGACGCCGAGGAATGAGGCATTCGAGATGGATTCGCAGCGGGAATCATTGATAACAACGCACGCGGCCGATATCAAAGATAGATGCTACCGATGGATGAAGTGCAGAGACGCTGATAGCGGGTGGATGACAAGTGGGGACAGAGTCGCGTACCCCGCGAAATCACACACAATCGTGCCGGACAAGCTCGTGACCCCACGACGGCAAGAATCCGGGGAAGGACGCTATGACACACCTTTAGCTAATGTGGTATGTCCACAGGAACTACTCCCAATTATTTAATGACATAACACTCGCGTATTCTGTTAGAATCCATTGCCTTGTGTGCACCTGATGAACGGCCCTCAAATATACACTCAGCCCTTCGAACGGGTTTGCCTGGGACACGGAGATCTGTCATTGGCCTAGAGGATAGGCTTTCTGATAAGGAACTTTTCACATTGCAGGCCCGGTGGGCTCTTTCACATGCATATCTGCTTGATCACGGAGTCGGTGGCCTAATAGTCTCTGACTTCCATTCCTATCTCATCGAAGGCTAGATAACGAAGATCATTGTCGAATCTTAAGCGCGAAGATCACACCGTCTGTCTTACCCGAAATTAGCGATTCGATCCGGAGCAGCCCCTCCTGATGTGGGGCCGAGAAGCCGAGCAGGGATCGGGTGCAGGGATCGGGTCGGGATGGCGCCGTTATCAAGAAGCCGAGTGAGCGAGTCCCGTGCATCATCCTCTGCTTGTGTCAGGCTTCTGCTATCCTGAAGAATCGTTATCTTCCAAATCTATCGCCGCCAACTTTGAGAGAAAAGAGTTTTGGTCTTTGATCATCCGAGTAGATAAGAAGGAATCGGGAACCACAAAAGAAGATTGGCCGTCTCGATGCTGGATTGATGGCGATAACGGGCCACCACTGTATTTATACCCAGTCGCGAGGCTCAGCGTCTCCATTCTACGTCACATGTCGCGTGATAGTATTGAAACACAGAAGATCTCTTCAATCAGAAGACTTTCGTACACATTTCTGCATACACATTACGTATTTGATGTAGTTCCAGAACAGGCTTTTGCGTTGAACAAAGTGAACGCTCGGGGCCCGTCTGCTTTAGGAAGGATAGGAATTTCTCCGTTTTGGGAAATATCCCCAAGTCGCATGCACCAACGAACGAATATGCGAAGAAGACGGCTTAAAAGATATCGAATCTATGAATTTGTGACCAGCCGTAGGATCTAAAGTAGACCGACCATGTCTTTCCAGGGGAGCCTTTTCATGGAGCTCTTGAACCGAAGCTCACTCTCGTCTGTCACTCTGGCCCGATTGATATTCCCCAAGCGTTACGATGCCCGCTGAAAGCATTGTAATTGTTGGGTAAGTGAGAAATAGCACGTAATATTAACGTGAAAGAGTCACTGACTTAATTCAAAAGCGCAGGCATCATCGGCCTAGACGTTGCACTGGTGTTGGCAAAGGCAGGCCTCGGTAAATCTACTACGGTCGTAGCTGAATACCTGCCTGGAGATACTGCGGTCACTTATACATCCCCATGGTTAGGATGATTCGAACTCATTGAACCAGTCAAGTGATCCAGGCAAAGACATGGCTGACTCTTTCAGGGCCGGCTGCAACTTTTCAGCCATCTCCGGCAGCGATGCCAACGCGTTGAGATGGGATCGCGTTGGTTACTCCCATCTCTGCAAGCTGGCATCCGAGGCAGAGGAAGAGGCGTTCGTGAAGAGAACTCCATCTATCGAAATGTGGGATGAGGAGATTCCCCACGAAAAGATAAAACACATGTCTGACTATCTTGAAGATGTAAGGACTTTCACAAAGACCACTGTGATATTTCCAAAGCGCTGACACGGTTATGGTAGTTCAAAGTTTTGCCTCTAGAGGAACTTCCAGAAGGCGTCAAATTTGCTGTGTCTTTCACCACTTTGACTGTGAATGCGCCTGCACACCTCCTATACCTTTACCGGACGCTGAAGGATCGTTATGGTGTACGTTTCATCCGGCAAAAGGTTCCCGATATTCAATCCGGCTTCCTCAGCTTCGACACAAAGGTCGTGTTCAACTGCACTGGTAACGCAGCCAAAACACTATCCGGCGTTGAAGACCAACGCTGCTACCCAACCAGAGGCCAGGTTGTGTTGGTCAGAGCACCGCAAGTCCGAACAAATGTGATGAGGCACGGCAAGGACTACGAGACCTACGTGATCCCTCGGCCTGGATCAAACGGAAATGCCATATTGGGAGGATACATGCAGAAGGGAAGTGGGTAAGTTCATTGTCTGGAGCTCATCGTTGAGAACCTACATGTTGGCGTGAGCTCACCCTTGATAACAAGTGACGGTGCTACATACTATCATGAGACCATTTCCATTATGGATCGGACCCACAAGTTGAGTAGCGAGCTTCGTGAGAAGGATTCTGAAGTACTTGCGGTTGTTGCTGGGCTAAGACCCTCACGCGAAGGCGGTGCTCGCGTTGAGGGTGTTCAGGTTGACGTAGACGGTAGGCAGGGTTTGATCGTACATAATTACGGAGCTGGAGGTACTGGGTTTCAGGCTGGATACGGCATGGCGTTGGAGGCAGTGGAGGCTGCTGCGACCGCTTTGAAAGATCTACAGCATGCAGGCTTACGGTCGCGCCTGTGAGGGTGTTAATTGATACGCAGCAGCCTTGGGTTCATTTGTTACAAGTAAGAAATAAAGCTTCCGCTCATAATACGTCCATACTCGTGGTCCTGTTTGTGCTTTCTCTTTGTCCCTACCTACTACTTTCATTATGTAAGACGAACAGACGCCTCTTTCGCAGGAGGGGACGTGGCAGCATTTTTAAATTTTGCGAACATACAAGAACGGTTTAGAACATTTGATGTTGTATATTGCAGCATTCCTGCTTATCGTTTCGAGTCTAAATATTGTATCCCTTGCTGATACATGCTTGAACCTCACGTGTATGATCCCGGGATAGATGTCGTTGCCACCGCACTTTGGTAGAACCCAATGGAAAGCAACGTATTTCATGTTTTTGAAATGAACCGTCATCTTTTAATTGAAACTAAGCAGCACTGTAGTCTATCTCAAAGCTGTGCGTAGGGCTGTAATGCAACGCCCAATATCCATCCCAGATCTTGTTCGTCAGAGGCCCAACTTTACCCGTTCCATTGACAGGCTGGTCGTCAAGTTTGGTAATTGGCATGATGCCCCCAGCCGTCGTACACATCAGTATTTCATCCGCCTGGTAGGCAAGTTCGACGGGAACGACCTCCTTGCGGATAGGGATCTTGTTTGCCTCAGCAACTTCAAGAACACTCTTTCTCGTCACACCCTCAAGGACACCGCGATCAGGTGTAAAAAGAGTGCCGTCCTTGATGAGGCAGATATTGAATCCAGAGCCTTCAGTAAGGTTAGAGTCGCCGTCAGTCAAGAAGGGATACGTAGCGCCTCGGTCAGAAGCCTCAAAGAGACCTCGCACCAAGTCACCCCACTGGAGATTTTTGACGGTGGGATCGATGGCACCTGGAGGAACCCTGCGGACAGTTCGTGCGATGACTGCGGAGCCTCCGTGAGGCTGGTCCTCGGGGTCCATGCACCAAACGTAAGGCTGAATGAACATGTACAGATTATTGTTCAGTAGATCCTCCGGCTTCGCGCCTCGGACGCCCTTCAGGCCACGGGTAACAATGAGCTCCACAAAGGCGTCGCGAATACCGCTCTTAGCTACCATGTCGACAAGGATCTTCTTGACTTCTTCGCGGGGCAGAGGAAGTCGGAGACGCAACTTGGTGCAGCTGGCCTCCAAACGGCTGAGGTGGTCGTCTAGGCGGAAGAAGCGACCATCCCACACAGAGGGGACATCGTAGGTCAAGTCGCTGTGCATAAATCCTTGATCCATAAGAGGAATCCGTGCCTCTGCGAGTGGAACGAGTTGTCCCTCAACCCATGCGATGCCTTTGGCAAAGGGATTGGTGGGGGTGGACTTCTCCAGGACTGCTTGTCGCTGCTGGTATGCAGCAAAGATCTTGTCCATCGTAGCCATTTTGGATTATCGTGGTTCAGCCTGTGGCGGAGGGCGAAAGAGAATGAAAGATTAACCGGCAGCGGGCTTGTGAAGAGAAGTCGATTTGAACGACGAAAACGAATTATTTGGAGTGCCTTGACTGAGTAAGATGGTTGGCAATTGATGATTGATGATTGCTTATTGTTCTTGATTTTCGCTCGTTGACCTTGAGATCTAGTCGAACGCAGATGCTGTGATCTCTTATCATGGCCCAGATTATGACTTTTGCTGCAGTGACGCATCGCGAGGCAGTCTGTTGGATGCGGAGGCCCATTCCCCACAGCCGTGCAACACTGCAAATATGTCCCGAAATAGAGAGGCTGGTCTCGCTGTGAAGGCCTGCACCCAGATCCTTGAGGTAGAATCTCACCTAGTGCCAAGTCATCATAGGTCTTCTAGTCAGTGTTGATCTTTCCTAATATTTCCTAATGTGGAGAAAGCGCGATTTTGCCAAGTCTTCGGCGTAATCCACGTTTACATCCATTCTCAACGTGCGGGGTTCTCCATTGCAAAAGCCAAGAACACTAGGGGTTATACGGCACGGAATGATAATAATTCAATGCGGGAAATATTGGGTTGCGATTGCATTGGAGGCATATCTCTGCTTGAAGGCAAATGACCATTTGACTCTAAACTACCTAGTTGAGCCAAGCGTCCGTCACACCTTGAAGGCCCTTTGCCAACCACTCATCACCAAGTTTCGCGCTTGAGTCAAAACCGTGATCCCCAGGCCGAATTGCCAAATGCACATGAGATGATGGGTCTACTGTCTTCAGACGTGCCACAAATTTCCTTGTCCCCTCAACGGGTACTGCGGAGTCCTCTTCACCATGCAAGATGAAGCATTGCGGGAGGATGGGTCGGTCTCTGCGTCCGTTTGTGGTCAACAGCCGGAGAGGAAATAATTCGTTCTCTGTGCCTAAGAACTCAAGAAACCTTCCATTTTGCACAATTGCCATGGCCAAGTCGAGTCGTGTTGGGGGGTCAGCTGCTGTCAAAAGTTTCCTGCTTCCAGACAATGGAGAAGTCAGAAACTCGTGAATGACCTCATCCGGGAAGTTTGGAACCCCGACGATTGGCTTGTTGAATCTCCTGGTGTAATACGGCGATTCAAGATCGATCATAGGATACGCCAAGATCATACCACGGGGATTAGCGAAACCGTGGAGAACCGATTGCAGGGCAAGATATCCACCTAATAGCACCAAAAAGACAGCGATGTCAGTTCAGTTGCCGTCTCAGAGCAAGCAGTTTCGACTTACCGGCGCTTTCGCCTACAACCAGCAACTGATCAAGATCAAGCTTGATGTTGCTCAAGCCGACGCTTGCCAGCGAATGCTCGACACCACCGCTGCTGAGCCATGACCAAAAGTTACTGAGGTCTTGCAATATGTCAACTCCCTTCGCTTCTGGAAGCAAATGATAATCGGGACTGACAATCACGGCATCGTGAAATTCAGCGTAGTCCAAAATCCACGTGGTGAACCAAGCGGGGAAAAGGCTCGAGCCTGTGACCTATGAGACGATTAACTTTTAGTGACTCCCAGCCCGACAATTGGAGCCCAAAGGCAGTGACTGAACATACCAGAAACCCTCCATGAATTCTTACAATCAGAGGCCTTGCGCCTTGGGTCTTCATCGACTTTGGGAGGAGTACATCAACCTCTATATCAATATCGTCGGATGTATAGTGACTGCGGTATATACGAAACGGGTCGAACTTTGACGGCGGGTCAGATAGGAGAGCATTCACTAGCTCATCGAATTTATGTTGACGCTCTTTAGCAGAACTCGTCGCAACCGTTGGCGAACCCATGACTGACGCGAGAACACGAGCATGAGCAGCAGAATGCATGATTTTCAAGTCTCGAACAATTGAAGTACCGATTCAATTCTGAAGGAAATGGAGTGAGTGCGGGTGTGGGATAATGTCGTCTTTTGAAGAGATCAAGCTACCTGGATCACCAAATTGCCTTTTTTGACTTAGGTTGCATAAAAAGACGGGGTTGAAGCTCTGAAGATTTCACACCGGCCCGAAGCAAGCTACAAGAGCCGGTAGATGGTTATTCCCCGCATTTATATAATGATGTTTGGAAAATGCTTTTCATGAAAACGTGATTTAATACCCAAAAGATGATCTTGCGTATAGCCTCGCAAAAGCAGAGTAAGTACACTCTAACCTGAAAGACTTGACAATGGCAGGTGTTGCTAATTGTCGGCCCCATCCAGCTGCGTCACGGCTCTACTCAGTAGTTCTGGGAGCAATGATGTTGTAAATCTCAGTTTCGACCTTGTCTGAGCATTCAAGAACATACGGATCTGGTGATAATGACTTTGGTCAACGCTGCGTCTTGTTGACGGCAACAAAGAAACATTAATCAACGCTTGTGCTTACCTCCGTAAGGTGCAATCTGTGTTGCAATGATTCCGCCAAGCTTGTTCGTACGGTCTGCAAACCAATAGAGATTCGCAAGGCCCTCCCAGGAGGCGGTCCCTGCCGGCCTTCCGGTTGATGACGGTTGGTGACTGATTGAGAACGAAAGCCCCCAGCCTTCAGTATGATCCTCTGGCATTGGGGTCAGCGGGGTGGGTCTTGCCAGTGTTGGCTTTGAAACCGGGATGAATTTACTAGAATAGCGAGGCTTGTCAGGAATTTGATCGGTGAACATCTCTAGACGACGTCAGAAACTTGGTTGTACAAAAGGCTCAGAAACAATTCAGTTCGCATACCGCCTACTGTTTCCGGTCTCAGCAGTTGCGCCTTCGTCCTGGCATCTTGGCCATCATTCAGGAGCAGCGCGATGATACCTGTGTCCAAGTCAACACAGCACTTCCCAAAAACAACCGATTCTCATAACCGCTTTGAAAGTAGAGACTTACGAGAGAACTCTGCTGGCTTGCCAAAGCATCCATGCCCCCCAGCGCAAAACAGGTCGCCCTTTTCCTCCTGCGTTTTCACGATCAGGGGCTTTCTGTAAATGTGATCTATCTCGTAAAATCCACCGTCAACATCTCTCTGATGCATATGAGCCAATCGTGATTTCGTCTCTTCCGAAGGTTGAAACGTGATGCTGGTGATGTCGAGGGGTCCGAATATGTTCTCCTGAAAGTACGTTTCTAGGGACACTCTTGTAGCACGCTCGACAATGATGCCCGCCCAGTCCATTGATGTCCCATATTGAAATGTTTCACCCGGCTGGTTCAGCAGTGGGCGGCTGATGACATCAAATCTGTCACAGGAGAAATCGTCCAGGCCGACCGGACGGGCTACCTCAGCCAGTTTGTCATCTTCAAAGGCGTACCCGAAACCAGCTGCGAAGCATGTATATCAGCAAGTGACTATGAGCGGTTTGAGACTTTGGATGGGATACCTGTGTGGTTCAGAAGCATCCTGAAGGTGATACGACTTTTCTTCGGAACATAGTGGAAGTCTCCTTCGGCTGTCCTCTGGAGCACCTGCACATGACGTAATTCCGGTGCCAACTCTTCGAGCTGGTCTGCGTCGTCTAGCTTGAGCAAGCCTCGCTCCACGCATTGCATACAAGCTATGGAAGTTATCAACTTTGTGAATGATAAGAGCCAAAATGTGGTGTCCAACGTCATTGGCTGGGTTGTCGACAAGCCCTTCTTCCCGGATGCATGCTGGAATATCGGAAGACTATCTTGTCCAAATGCACAATACACAACCCCCGGAAGTTTCGGATTTTCCCCCGTCGTGTACTGGTCGATAAGATCGCGCAGGCCTTGTGCCGAAGCTGCAGTCATGGCGGGCATCTTGGCCAATTTGTCTCGCGTTGCGTGGGTTGACGTTAGGCGGTAAACGTCCTCTATCAATATTCGTGTTTGCACAAAAGCTGGCATGTGTATTTCTGTAACATCAGGCTCTCTATGGTTCTGAGGCGCATAGAGGATGAAAGGTATAATTTCGGTGGTGTGCAGCCGAGGAGGGTGGGGTTGCAAGCATTGTAAATATCTCCTGTTGCGGACATGTTGAGCCCATCACTGAACATGCCTGTTCTGGACCAGGCAGGTTGTGGATGGATGATAGCAAAACTGTGCCAGAGCTACTTTTGAGAAGCGGTCGTCCGGCATTTCAGCTAAGGCTGAATCTTGAAATCTACGGCTTCAGAGAAAACGAAACAACAAAGAGAATCGTCTCATTCCATCTTTGACAAATCCACACAATGGCAGAGTACAGATGGCTTCCAGGTCCAGTCGGCGAGATGCTTCGCTCCTCATCCCTTGCCACCACGGCCACGATACCTCTACAGGGTCACCTAGTTGTCACGACCGGACATGTCGGCGTCAACCTCTCAACAGGAGAACTCGTCAAATCCAGCATTCGAGACGAGTTTAATGCCGTATGCGATTGTCTCGATGCAGCTCTTCGCGACGCTGGAGTCGAACTCGGGCTTGGGGGGGCGCATAAAATTGTTGCGTATTTTATTCGTTCGGAAGATGAGGCCAAACTATTTAAGGTCTTCCGGGAGAAGTACCCGGGTCATTCGCCAACGTGGACGTCGGTAGTGGTTGCGGCTTTGGTTGTCCCGGGCATGCACGTCGAGCTTCAAGCGGAAGCTGTCCGCCACGGCTGAGAGACTTTCTGATATGAGCTTCATTGCATTTGAGGAGGCTAGCGAGTCGTATTTCAGCTAATCAATCTACGTAACCCCAATACATCTTTTCCCTGAAATTTCACTGCCGGTCAGGCATGTTTCTGTAAGCATTGTTCGGATCCGCCAGTTCTTCTTCGACGGTTGGGAGCTTCTTGACCACCTTTGCGGGGGCCCCCATGGCAACAGAGTATGGTGGAATGCTCTTAGTCACGATTGATCCTGCCCCAATAGTGCTTCCCTTCCCAATAGTGACCCCTGGCAAGATGATTGTACCCCCACCAATCCACGCGTCATCCTCTATGTACACGGGATCGCCAAACTCGACAAACTTAATCCGAGAAAGGACACTGGTCTCGTGCCCTGCGCTGTAAATGCTCACGTTTGGGCCCAGTTGAACACGGTTACCAATGATGACCAGGCTGGTATCAAGGATGGTGCAGCTAACCAGTATTAGAACACTTCAGCTCTGATCTTGGAGAAAATCGTCTTACTTGAAGTTGATAAAGCAATTCTCGCCAATGACCACGTTGCATCCATAATCTGGTATGAAAGGTGGCTCGATAAAAGTTCCCGGGCCCACCTTTCCCAAAATGTCCTTCAGCATTTCTTGCTGCGTGGCCATCAGCTCGTCGTAAGGCTTCGAGTTTGGATCCATATTGTTGTACTTGTAAAGTAGACATCTCGCGCGGTGACGTCCCGCAAGCAGGGGGGGATGCAACGGATTGTACCTATCTACGTCAACATCTCAAGAACTTTGATTGTTCATGTTGCATGCTCACAACATTCCAGAAATCATGCGCTCGTATTCCTCACACCAGGGAGTGCCCTTCAGCTGCTTGGCGAGCTGAATGATCTCGCTGTTCTTCGTTGTTCTAGCCATGACAATAGACCGGTGTTCGGTTACTTTCGTTCCTTCTGAAATCGACGGCTTGTTTTGACATCGATATGTCATAACGAAAAGGAACTACTTTATACATGGGGGTTATTCCAACTTTTCCAGAAGAGGACAAAGGAACATTTCCGAATCTGGAAATATTCGACCACAAGCTTTTACCCCGCTATGCTATCAGTCCAACCAGGGATATGCCCCGCTCAGACGCACACGGGCGCGGAATGTGTCTTCATGTTGGGGTTTGATCAACGACGATAGCTAGTTGAACTCATTGCGTGATATCCTTTGTCTGGCTCACTCTAAAGTTGATGCTTAACAGCAGCGCTACATACTAATTAAACAAGTTAAATCTGAGGCTTCAACTTAACTATTTAACTTAAAGATCATAACAAACTTAACTAATTAATAGATTTAAACTTAACTTATTAGATTTAATATAAAATTACCTAATTAGGAAGTTAGTGATATTATTATAAGGTCTCTAGGGGTTAAATATATATACTATATAGTAATTTAAGGTTATATTAACCTTATTAACCCCTCTTTATATATATATAGCTACTAATAGTAACTTAACTACTTTAAACCTAGTTCTAGAGGTATTAGGTCTTCTTAAGTAGAGATAACTTTATTAATAACTTCTATAAAGTTAATATAAACTTAGTAAGGCTAAATACCTTCTTATAGTTTATTACTATTACTAAGATAGTAAAGATATTAATAATAAGTTTACTAAGAGTTAAGAAGGTCTAATAATATAAAATCTACTACTTAATAAGGTTATTAATAAACTAAATAATTAATAAATAATAATATTAATTTAGTTTAAAAGCCCTATTATTAATAGCTTCTTAGGTCTTATTAGCTAATTATTAACTATATTTAGAGTTTTTATAGTATAATACTATTAAGATTAATATAAAAGAACCCTCTAGGGGTATTAGAGGTATTAAAATAGGAGCTACTTTATAATACTATTATTCCTAGTATTTATAAAAACCTTACTTAGTATTAATAACTTAAAAACTTATTTCTAGTATATCTTAATACTACTTAAGCTATTATAAGCCTTATCTAAAGTATAAAATCATAATAGTAGTATAAATAGATAACTCTCTAAGCTTAGTATAATACTTATTAAGTACTTTCTAACTATTAATAATAGAGATATATAAGTAGATATTAGAGTTAAAATTAACTTCACTTTAAGGGCTTTAAGACTTATATTTAGAGTAAGTATAAGTAGGGATACTATTAATTAATAAGGTTTATAAGGATACTACTAATTAATATAAAGATTACTATAATAACTTTATATATTAAGTTAATTATAATAATTAACTCTATAAAGCTATTTAATTAATCTTTTTATTAATAAAGATATTATATAACTTCTATTAATTTTCTAACTTATTTAAGAAGTATTTTATATTTATAAGAACCTCCTAAAGTTAGTTATACCTATTACCTTTACCTTAACTTTTATATTACTTAGTCTATCTATAGAGAGGCTTAAGAATATTATTAAGCTTAATAAGGATATATTAATCCTTATTAGAAAGGTAATCCTTATTAGGGAGATAGTTTACTAAGTTATAAAAAAGCTTATTATTATATATAAAGGTATTAATTTAGCTATATTTAAGTAGGGCTTCTTAGATTATTATATATATTAAGTTCTATTTTATAGTATTATTTAGTATTAAGTTAAGCTTTTAGGATAACTCTTTAAAGATTATAAATATATTAGATTAATTATTAACTTTATTACTAAACTCTAAAAACTTCTCTATATATTAAAGTAATAATCTAATATACTTAATAATATTATAGAATTTACTAATAGATCTCTTACTCCTCTAAAGTACTATATTTACCTCTAAATTACTAATATTAATAAGACGTTTAGATTAATCCTTAAAAATATCTTAATTAATACTATAGATAATAGCTTAACTAACTAGATTAAGGATATAACTATAATATTAAATCTATTAATAGATAGTATCTTTTTTATTATATAATAATAAGATAGATAAGTAGAGTACTTTAATATAAGTATTATTATTTATAGTATTATTATAAACTATAAGTCTAACTTAATTAAATATTCTGAAGTTATTAATAACTATATATAAGGTAGGAGTAATATTAACACCTAAGTAGGTACTAAATTAATAATAGAGGGCTAAGAGGTATTATATCTACTTACCTAATTTATTAATAAAGTAGCTAAAGATAGTAATAATTATATATTAATTAAGGGAAGTCTATAAGTTAAATAATAGATATATTTAGCTAAAGGTATCCTATATCTCCTACTTAATCTATACTATCTTAGATATATATAAGTAATTAAATTAAAGCTTTATATTCTCTCTAAACTAATAAACTTAGTTACTAATATTATAATTAAATAGATAGAGGATATACTAAATATATTAATTACTAAATATTATAAATAGGTTATTTATATTAATAAAGTAACTTATAATAAGCTCTTTAATCTAATAGACTTTTAACTTAGATATAGTAATTATAATAGAGTAATAATACTTTAGAAGTAGGCTTATATTATTAAAGTTACCTCTAACTTTAGAACTTCCCTACTTAATATAGTATATTATCTTAAGATAGTTAATAGTAGTAATTATAGTAGAAGTATTAAAGGGTTTATTAATACTACTAGCTTTATTATAATAGTAGTAGACCTAATATATATTACCTTTATAGAGTATTAGTATAAGAATAAGTAGGTATTATAAGTAGTATATTAAGTTAGTTATTAAGTAGAAGCTTATAAATAAAGAAGCCTTTATTTCTAATCTAAGAAGTATAACTATAAAACCTCTTCTTTAAGATTAATTTAGTATTAAAGAAGGTCTTATTCTTCTATTTAGCTTAAGGTAAGGCTTATAGAGAGTCTCTTATACTTAAGTTAGTACTTAATATATTACTAATAGTTAAGGTAGTATATAGTTAAGTAGTAATATTATAAGGTATTAATAATAGAGTGATACTAATAAAATAATTAAGATATTAGCTGATATTATAATAAGGTAAGGGAGAAAACTTATTAATTATACTAAGTACTCCACTCTAAGCGAAAACCTCCTAAAAATACCTAAACACTTATATATTAATTTTCTAGATAACTATAAGAGATATAAAAGTAAATATATAAATATAAGCCTAACTAACTTATATTTTATCTATATTTTCTACTCTTATTATACTTTAGGTTATATAATTTTATAGGAGAAAATAAACTACTAAGAAGAAGTTTAATAGTATTATTTTTATAATATTTTACTCTATCTTTATTTTAAATAATTAAGGAGGTATAATAGAGATTAAGAAGGAGGATAAAAGTAGAGCTAACTAAGGTTAAAAAGGTTTAAAAATACTTATCTTTATTTAATTTTTAAAAGGTAAGAATTACTAAATTTATTCTATAGACTAAACTAAAAAGTCTTAAAAGTTCTTCTAGAGGGATAGTTACTAAAATTATTAAGAAAAAAATAGAAAAAGTATAAAAATAAATATATTTTTTATTTATCTACTTAGTCTTTTTTATTATAAGCTAATTAAACCTCTATTTATTTATATAAGTTATTTCCTTCTATAATAACACTTAATACTTATAAAGCTACTTATCTAACTTCTTACTTTTAAGTTAAAATTACTAAAAATTCTAAGTTCTCTACCCCCTTCTATATATCCCCTAAGTTTTTTATATATTAAAGAGAGGAAGACTTAATTAACCTTATTTTATATATTTAATTTATTTTCTAGCCCTTAACTTATACCTTTTATTATCTTAGTTAATAGTTAGTCTCTCTATTAATTCTTTTTAATATAAGTTTAATTATAATCTTCTTTTTAGATTTCTTTAACTTATTATATATTAAGTACTATTTATCCTTTTAGTATAATTAGGATTAAGAAGGTATCTTAAGGTTATATAGCTTAAACTATATCTTTAATTAGGTTATCTTAAGTAATAAGAAATTACTTTAGAGTTAAGTTATTAAGTCTATTTATTTTAAATAACTTAAGTTTTTTAACTCTTCTCTTAATCTTTATATAGTAGAGTTCCCTTTACTTATTCTCTATTTTAACCTATATATCTTTAACTTTATTTAATACTTCTCTAAAGTAGACTTTTCTTATTTTATAGTAATAATAAAGGTTATAAGATTAAAGTTATTATTATAGATTATATTTTTTATTCTATTAGTTTCCTTTAGAGGGATTAAGTCTTCTATTTTAACTCTAATTAACTCTTAAATAACTAATATCTAGTTAGGTATAACCTCTCTAAAACTTATATTTCCCTTATTTTCTTATTATTCTTCTTACCCTTTTCCTTTTAAAGCCTTTAATTAGTTTTTAAATCTAATTTTAGGTTTTAGCTTTAAGTTTTTAAATAAGGTATAAGGACTAAATTCTTTAGTAATAAGCCTAATTTAGTAGTTAAAAAGGTTTTTATAAAGATTTAGATTAATTTCTTAAGCTTTAGTAGTAGTTTCTAAATATAAAGCTTTTATACTAAAGATACCTTATTAGATAATATATCTAATAAAGTTTATAATATAGAGGTTATATTTCTATAAATCCTCTTTTAATTTAATTTAGAGTTATAAGATAATAAAGAAAGTATAATTAATAAGCTTTTAAGTTTCTATTAGTACTTTATAGATTCTATACTAATTATAAACTAGCTTAACTATAGTTTTAAAAGAGGTCTCTAACTTATTTAAGTTATTATTATTAGTAATATCTTATATACTATTTAAATAGAGGTATAAGTTATTTCTTTAATTAATAATTAAGCTTATATACTTTTCTCTACTATTATATTATAAAAAGATAATAAAATTATATAAAGTAAGCTTATTAGCTAGAACTCTATAATACTTTACTTTAAGGTTATTATAAAAAGAGACCTAAATAATAAGAACCTTTATATATTATTCTTTAATTAT